GTCCAGAAGTTTGAAAACCTCTTCCAATGCAGCGGTGAAGAGTTCCGGGGATATAACGTCACCCTGTCTTACATCTCTCTGCAATTGGATAGGTTTTGTACTCTGGTTCTGTACTCGGATAGCCATTGTAGCCCTACTGTACAAGCACTTCAGCACTTCGATATACCGACAGTCAACTCGCTGAAGGGAATACAGTACCGCCCAAATTTTGACGGAACTAAAGGCTTTCTCATAGTCTACATACGCCAGACATAGTGGCAAATTGTACTCCTCGGAGCTCTGTACAATTTGCCGAAGGGTATGTATGTGGTCTATGGTGCTAAAGCCTTTTCGGAAACCGGCTTATTCGGGAGGATGGAAGTCGTCAAGACTGCGCGCCAGACGATTCGTAATGACTTTCGAAAACAGCACGTAGACGAGGTTCAGAAGGGAAATCGGTCTGTAGTTCTTCAAGAGAACGTAGTCATCTTTTTTGAAGAACAAGACCACCGCACTTCTGCTCCACGCCTTCGGTGTAATGCTACCATGGAGGACGGAATTAAAGAGCTTCTGAAGGACTTCAAGTACCGGTTTTCCACCCGCTTTCAGAAGCTCCGTTCTCAAAACAATCCCTCGACCAGTGAATATCAATTCTCTCTTAACTATCCCCAATTCCATATATGTTAATATGATCTCAAAATATATTCAAATGTATAATATTTAACTCTAATTATTGTGTACATAAAGTTGCTTAACCTAATTCTCTATTCCCTGCCCAGGCTAATTCCGTCCTATAACTAGATGCTTGCTCTATATTGTTACGGGGTGGTATAATTCATAACTAATTTTACACCGAAAAGCCTCAAGACAAGGTGTGACAGACCAAAGACCGGACATTGGCAGAATTATTGTGACATAGCCACAATACCAAGGGCAGTGATGCCAACTTGGCAACTTTATAGCTAGATATAGCTATTTTTTGGTGACGGGCAGCTACAATTTAATGAAATTTGTAGCTAAACTTTTTAGCTACTTTTTCTAGCAACTTTTCATTTCATCATGAGACGTGAGGCTATCGAGATTCGTAGAGTAGGTTACCGAGTCTCGAAAGAAAAAATAAAAACTAAACGCGAATCTATGGTCATAGATGCTATGGTAGGCTTAGATCGGTGTTGGCCGGGAATTTCCCGTTTCCTGCTGCGTTATGACAGATTATTCACTAACCTACCACTAACCAATAAAGATGGGTTAATACCGATATTTGTCAGTATTAGTTAATATGAATATATTCGTCAAGTGATATTATAATATTTAAATTAATATATGAATATTACTGATATCTTTATATAAAGATTATACGTATCACTATTCTATTCATGTAGGTTATAAGTTTATTTTACCAAGCATAATTTATCACAATAAATAAATTTAAAGATACACTATTAAAAAACTACTAGAGTCAATAAATTTTAAACATCTATAAAGTGTTTTATTTGTAAAGTCCTGCTGCTGGTCGCCGTGATATAAAATATCGAATTGAAAATAGTCCCTAAGAACTATAAAATAGAGAATGAATACCCGTCAAACGCTCATATCGGTTGATTCATTTGATCATTCGGCTAGCTCGCTTGCACCGCTATACTTACGATACGAATGATACAGATATCCGTCACGAATATCAGCAGTCGGGTCGAGCCGAGTGATATTATCCAACCGATGTTGAACAGTTAGTGTATAAATGAAGTTAATATGGAATATTAGCATATCAGAATCCGTTGGATTACTAATCTATGAATCCACCCAATATTACCAATATCTTAACGGATACGAATATATCGGTTACATCTTTACTAACCAAAATAGTACACGCTACTCGTATTCCACCTTGTGTTGTTTTGTTTTATCCATATAAACTAATTTTAAATAAAAATGGATTTATCTTCGAAACTAAAGCGTACGCACAGAAATATACTTTGAACTCAATCCTCTGCATTAGCGACTCTCTTAGGAAAAGTGGTAAATGCTGCTATAACCGTGTTTTGTCTAAAGATGTAACTGTATAAAATGGGCACCGCTGAAAAATATTCGGAATTAACGACGGAAGACACTGAACCCCAAATATCGACATCTTCTTTGATTGATTAATTTTAAACTTATTTTTTTTATTCAATAACGTACAGTCACGAGCCATAATATGTAAACAACATAGAACTTTGTCACGTTAAGCGTTCCGAAACAAAACTATTTGTGCCACAAAAGTCGACAGTAAATATAATATAATAATATAGTCCTATGTTGTTTACCTATTATTGCTCGTGACTGTACACAAGACATTTTTAACTCTCTTGTTGCAAATTAAAAATGATTGTCAGAAATTGACACTTTATTGTAATCTACCTACGTACTGTAACCTTTAGTTACTTCTAGCAACTTTTTGGGGTAAAAGAAGCTGGCAATCTAGCAACATTTTGAAAAATGTCTAGCAACTGGGTAGAGTTTTTGGCGGGAAATTGACCGGCGGCGGTTTGCTGCTCCTGTATTATTGTTTAAATAATGGTTTGAAGTGGACTTTGATATGTAAAAGTGTTGCGATTTTGTGTATTAAGTGTCTACGCATGTGAACTATTAGTGGAAACAGTGAAACAAGTGCTCTGATGGTGATGCATTCTCAAGATAAGCTGTTTGTTTGCATAGGCACCTTTAGATACCATCGCCAACTATCAGCTGTCTGCTGGATCAAGTTGCCGCCAAAATCTCCCAAGAACTGCACAATGTGACGCATCAACATATTGTGAAGCAGTATACTATGAAGGAGTGGGGAAATTACAATAAACCGAATAAAAATACTTAAGACTTGGCCTAAAGGTCTAGATACCAGGCCATAAACTCCAAAAAAAAATCTAGCAACTGGGTAAAGCTAGCAGTTGGCAACACTGACCAAGGGTCATATAGACAAAAAAGAACTTTATAACTTGCTACATATATATTTATCTATGCTTTATAATTTGTGATTTTGTGAACAAGTGTACCAAGACCCAAGAGTGGGGAATTTAAAATAGCAGACTACTGAGAAGGGATAATATGTAATTTGAGAAGAGAAGCTGCACTATAAAATAATATTACGCGAAAAGCAAGCGTGTTTGTTAATTTGTGATGGCTAAAAACTGTGTCAGTACTCTTATAATATACTGCATCTTTTTATGTTCCTGTTCTACAGTTAACAGTTACACCAAGGTATTCATAAAACTATAAATATTTTATATTGATAAATAATTCATTTTAAATAAAATTAAGCCCCTTTTTATTTCAAAAATGGGGAAAGCACAGTATAATGATGTACTTAAGATTTATTATTTGTTCATCACAATTTTTTTTAACATAAACAATATTGTTATTGCTTATTGTTAGTCAACAAGCTGTGTCAACAAGTGACACTTGTACTTTCCAAGATAATTGTTTATATGTTTTATTTATTATGTAAATAATATATAATACAATGTTCTGTCAAACCTGTTACTGTGAATTCATAGATAAGATAAGGTAACCAGGAGGTGAACATATTCATGAAGTAAGTAACATTACGACCTTTATACGTTCTGCTGCTGCTGGACACGTCCTCATTTTTCTGAGTGGCTTATCTGCTGTCTGGACCTTAAGTGTATTGCTGGATCTAAAAAACTAAAAAATATATATTCAAATATATATTTTTTAAGTTTTTAGGCCACATTTGTAACAATTGATATTAATTATCCACTTAACCATCCACCCTGCGCAAGTGATTCTCGCCTCACCTGTCCGCGCATTAAATATCACTATTTTTTTACGACCGCGCTAGACTGTCTCAACAAAAACTATTACTTAGTACCGAAAAACTACCATAGCTACATTTAAATAAAAAATATAAAAAAAAAAGACTTAAAGAATTCAAAATTTAATTTTGTTAAAAGAAAATTAGTGAAATTAAAAATAAAGGCAGAAAATAAAGCTTAAAATGGGAATATAAAAAAAAATCGTATTTATTTTTTATTTCAAGTGTTACAAGAAAAGTATAACACCTGGAGACAATTATTTTATATTATAATAGTACATGATATTGCTTTTAAAATGACACCAATATCAATAATATTGTATATACTCAATATACATAAGTATATAATGTTTACCCAATATAAATTTGAATAAATAAGTTAGTAAGTACAATAAAAATAAGTTTTAATAATTTCTAAACACATCTCAACAGTTATTTCTTTTCTATATGGCTATGAACATGTTAATAGTGAATCATTCTTTTATATTTAGCATTCATTTAACACAAAAAACTGATTAGAATACATTTTAAACAACATAATTAATAAACGATGATCGCATATAGTGACTAAAATTTCAAGCTAAATTATTATATGTTAAGTGTTTTGGAATTGTAATGAAACATATTTTTTAAAGAAAATATCTTCACAATTAGTTTGATGTATAATAACATTGCAAATAATGTATAAAAACAGAAAAGTTATCACATTTTTGATCGAATTTCTCACATTTTAATAATCCACAAACAAAAATGGCGAAATTTAGTTTTAAACTTTTTTTTTTAATATTTTGTTACTATTATACCGATAAATTCACAAATTAACACTCACGGATGACAAATTTATAATAACACCATATATAATTTTTTACTGTATTAATAACAGCTATCTTTTGCACTGTACATGCTTAAACCGAAAGATGTTGTTTGGTGACTATAGTCACCATGGACAGGTGAGGCAATAATTTTTTTGGGGACTGTAGTCACCTTGGACAGTTGAGTAGTTATAATAATATCATGGCAAGATTTTTTATAGTAATTCCATTGCATTAAATTAGGTGATAGAATGTCTTTTACTGTTTTTAACTTTTTTTTTAAAGAAGACCAGTGTCTTTTTAGCCTTATATTATTTATATAGGTGTTCAGCAGAGACCATAAAATTATAAGAAGTTTTTTGTATAATAATGGACATAAATTAAGTGCATGTTTACAGATAATGAAGCCAATTCTAATAGTTCATGGTGGTGCAGGTGATATTCCCCAAAGTCGTGTGCAAGGCAAATTGGATGGGGTAAGATTAGCAGTAAAAGAAGGTTACAAAGTGCTGCTACACAATGGTAGTGCTCTGGCTGCAGTTGAAGCAGCAGTTGTATCTATGGAGAAAGATGAATATTTTAATGCAGGTTCACATTCCTTTTTTTAATACTAACATCAATATTACAATAATCTCAACAATACCATTGGCTGGTTTGTAGCAGTGTGTATGGATATGAATGGTAAAACTTTAGTAACATGCTGCCTTATTGGTAAGGGGGGAGGCGGGAGGGATTGGAGTGGGGTATTTGAAGGTAGTTTGAAAGAGGAGATGAGGAAACATATTGTTTCGGACAGAATCAGAAAACATTCAATTTACAGATTTTTCAGTTAAAATATTAACAGGTCCTATCCGCTGAGATCGTGATGCTTGGTGATTTTAATACCCACCATGCTGAATGCCTTGGTTCCTGTTTAACCGATAATGCTGGTAGATCTGTTTATGACTTTGCCTTGGCATATGGTCTGACACAACTGGTTACTTCGCTTACACGAACCCCAGATGTGGAGGATCATGTACCTTCCCTGTTGGACCTTCTGCTGACCTCTCATTCGGACGGATATCAGGTCTCCGTTGATGCCCCTCTTACTTTACCCCCACTCCCTAGGCGTAGTGCCGATCTCATGGAAGACAGCTTTGGTGCACCCAATCCCTAAAAAAGGTGACTGCTCAGACCCGTCCAACTACAGGCCTATAACTATCACCTTCTTGTTCTTCAAAGTAATGGAAACTATTATTAACTGCCAGTTCATGCGGTACCATCACCAGCTGATTAGTGACCGCCCGTACAGTTTCCGTCGAGGTCGCTCAGCTGGTGATCTTCTAGGTTACCTAACTCATAGAAGGGCGGAGGCAGTGGAGTCCAAGGGGGAGGCGTTGGCCGTTAGTTTGGACATAGCGAAGGCCTTTGGTCGGGTTTGGCACAAAGCACTTCTTTCGAAGCTTCCTTTCTATGGGCTTCCCGAGAAATTGTGCAATTGGATCACCAGTTTTCTTGCAGATCGGATCGGCATCAAAGTAATAGTAGACGGTGCATGCCCCGATTACAAGCCCATTAACGCTGGTATTCCACAAGGCTGCGTGCTATCACCAACGCTGTTTCTTCTGAATATCAATGACATGTTACAAACTGGTAACATACATTGCTATGCAGACGACAGCACTGGTGATGCTTTATACACCGGCCGTGCCAATATTTCTCGGGAAAACGTCGCCGAGTACCGAAACAAACTTGTGTCTGAAGTCGAGACTTTGTTGAACAAAGTCTCGGACTGGGGGCGACTAAATCTAGTCCAGTTCAATCCCCAGAAGATACAAGTTTGCGCGTTTACCGCTAAAAAGAACCCCTTTGTCGTATCTCCTCAGTTTCAAGGCACTCCCCTTGTTGCCTCAGCCAATATTGGAATCCTCGGTTTTGACATATCGAGTTATGTGCAGTTTCGTGGTCACTTGGAAGAGAAGGCCAAATTGGCCTCTAAAAAGCTTGGCGTGCGTGCTCAGCAGAGCGGGACAGTATTTCATGCCGGCACACCGCTTGCAAATTTACAAGGCGCAGTTTCGGCCCCACATGGAATACTGTTCCCATCTCTCGACAGGGGCTCCCCAGTGCCAGCTCCTTCCACTTGACCACATCCAGCGCAGAGCGGCTCGAATCGTTGACGACCGAGTTCTTTCCGATTGGCTTGACTCACTGGCACTGCATAGCTGCATGGCGTTGCATCTCTCTGCGTATTTTATCGCATCTACCACGGGGAGTGCTATGAGGAATTGTTCGGACTAATTCCAGCCGCTTAATTTCACCATCGCACATCGCCACAAAACTCGCGATACCATCCATACCATTTGTTCGATTTAGAAGAAGTTTTCTTCCTCGCACAACTTCCTTGTGGAATCGATTACCAACAGCGAATTTTCCGGACCGATACGACTTAGGGACCTTCAAGAAAAGAGCCTACTCCTTTTTAAAAGGCCGACAAAGCATCTGCAATCCCCCTGGTATTGCAGTTGTTAATGGGCGGCGGTAGTCACTTACCATCAGATGAGCCGCATGCTCGTTTGCTTCCTCTCCTATAAAAAAAAAGACCAAAAAATGAACCTTAAAACTCTTCATCTGGTATTTCAATGCCTACGCCGCTGCACTTTCACTTCGCTCGGTCCACTTGTCCATTGTGGTCACCAGTAACCTAAAGCTCCTTCTCACTTTGCTCAATGTTGCACCTATTTAATATTTCCAAACTTTATATAATATTATGAAGGGTTATATTACCGTTTTTATCAAGCTTTTTTCAATTTGTTGTTGTTAAAAATTAACTGTATTCCTACCTATCACCACCATCTGACTAGTTAGCCATGATATTTTAAATGATGATTTGACATGATTATTTACAGGTTATGGATCAGTTTTAAATTTGGCCGGTGAAGTAGAAATGGAAGCTAGCATAATGAGTGGACAAAATCTAGATGTGGGGGCAGTGACATTAATAAAAGATTTTCTCCATCCTATTAGCATTGCCCATAAAGTTCTTACAGACTCTCCACACTCATTACTGGGTGGTCAAGGTGCTAAACAATTTGCTTTGGAAAAGGTCAGTGGCTAATACCTATTACAAATTATAAAAAGTTATTCACTTCCTTGCAGTGAGCAATGGCTGCCACATTTGTCAAAGTTGTGAATGGTATGTTAAGAGGTCAGCCAGTACCTCAGGACACTCAGGGAGGTGAGTATATGTGAGGCAGGTACGAAGGCTCCAATATAAAGCTCAAAGACATGGTATAATTATGCTGACAAAATATTTACACGGCCACAGAGCACGCAAAACAAAAGATAAACATTTAGAGACATATTCAAAATATAGGATTGGTGATTAACCAGACAGCTGCCACAGGGCAGGTTGCCACGAGCCCCCTTCGCCCCACCCATAGGGGGTGGTAGTGGTTGTGGCTTGGTCACCCGCCATGAACAGAGGGGTACCCCTTGGCATGCCCGTGGTGTAGGGTAGGCCCGAGATGGTCACTCCGAGTGGGCTTGCCCATTCGCCCTATCCTCCGTGACTCTGACGGGGCCACACCGTTGTTGCGGTGGTGGCGGGGCCGCGTGGGGAGAGGATATTGCGTGAGCGCCGTTTTCCCTACCCTCCGCGGCCGAAACTTGGTTGGTGGCGGAGCCAAATAACCAGATACGCCGCTAGGGTCGGAAAAGCTGGTGCTACCGAGCGCTCGATTTTCTTGGCACCATCACTGAACAGTTGTCGTCTGGTCGTCATAATGAAGTCAATCTCATTTTTTGTCGAACCGTCAGGGCTCGACCAGGTCCACTTCCTGTGAGGCCGCTTCTGGAAGAAAGAGTTCATCATAAAGAGTCACCCTTTCTCCATGAAGTCGGCCAGATGCTGGCCCCTAGGGTTCCGTTGCCATATACCAAATTTCCCTACTTTCCGCTGACCATTCTCTCTTGTGCCTAGTTTTGCATTGAAGTCTCCCATTAACACCGTATAATGGGTTTTGGAGGAATGCATGGCTCCAGAGATATCCTCATACATTTCCTCCACCTCCTGATCAGGGTGTGCCGAGGTTGGTGCGTAAACCTGTATGACCTTCAGCGAATACCGTTTGGTGATTCTGAGTATAAGGTACGCAACCCTCGTCGACACACCCTCAATCTTTACAACGTTGTTAACGAGATACTTGTGGACGATAAATCCGACACCTCCTTGGGACAGATGGTCGCCCTCCCGGTGATAGAACAAGTTGCCGGATTGGAGGATTACGGTGTCCTCCCCCTCTCTTCGGACTGCGGATAATCCTATAATATGCCAGCGTAACTTGTCTATCTCTTCTTCCAGCTCCACGATCTTCTCGTCAGTCCTCCTATCCTTCTATCCTATTTAAATTAAAAAAAATCGACTTTTAATATTTGGCGCCTGACCAACAAACCTCAAACGGCTCGAATTAAAATCACAAAAATTTCTCCCAATTTGCCCCGGGGCTCTTGGTTGGATAGCTACGCCACTGGATCTGAGAGAAATTTATACACTATATTAATTTGATTTTATAGAACACTGAACACACCGAACAATAAACACTGAAATAACAATTAAAAATTAGGACTATCTATTAAATAAGAATATGAGTAGGAACATACCCAAGTTAGGGTTGACACAAGTTTTATTTAATTGTTTGTAGCAAAGTAAAAGCCATTCTGGCTGGCTTATATAAGACTACTGCTTAACGGTTTACCAATTGTATGAAGTTACATAGAATAAATTATAGGTGAGCTGTAACGAGTATATGATAGATCCAAAAAATGAATGATTTTTGAATAATAAACCTGTACACGCCCCTAGCTGCCCCAACCAAAGGGTGACGGGGTTAGGGCCCATGAGTAATCCCATCGACGAGCAGCTGAGGGACGGGGCCAGAATATGGCCACGTGGAATCTCTCTAATTACACTAAATATATGGGGGAGCGTTCTATACTACGGCCAGTCAACCGGCAGAGGAATTAGGCGAAGCTTACTTACCTATATCCAAGGCGACTGGTTCCTCCGGAGTCTGTCAGGTCACATGTGGTTGTGTAGTGAAAGGGAAAGAAGGTGATGTGATGTGTATCTGGGTGTGACTGCGGGTGATTGAACCTAGACCTTGGCCGTCGGCAGCAGCCCGAGCGTCGACACCGCTCCCACTTGAGGGAGCCTTCCGAGGCGTTGTCCAAAATGCTGCACCGCTTCAGACTGCTTCGGCGCCGGACCCCAGTCACTTTCCTCGTTCGTCACGATGACAGTAACAATTAACTCTATCGTACGATTTACTAACTTACAGAAGCCACTAACTATCGCTGGTTATAAGGTTAACGCACAAAACGCACACGGAGTTTACGGATCAAAGGTCACTACCGTTTCGCGTCGCAACAGTTAGTTCTAGAATATCAGGCCGCACTAGCTAATATTGCCGAAAGCACTTATGCCGATTCTGAGTCAGACACAATGTGTCCCTGGGAAGCTCTCCAGTTGGGATGCGCGTCACCAATCCTAGACCGTATATTTACTGTCCGCGCTTAATTATTCTGAGTTCCCGACAAAAATGATAGCGTGCTGTTCCAAGCACAGCTGGCAGACGACTCCGCCTTTTTTCTCGCGACCCGCGTGCCATTGCCACGCTCGGCCGAACTTCAACCTGTATCGCGCCGAGCCGAGTGACATCTGGCGTCGATTCTTGACAGCGTTTGGCGCGAACAAAACCCTCTCAGGAATGAAAGGAAGCCTGTGCCCAGCAGTGGGACATATATAGGCTGTAACTTTAACTTTTTTTTAATATTAAGGTATTTTATGTTATTAACGATATCGGATATATTTATTAATTTTTTTACTTTAATAGCGTACAATGCCACAATGGGTACTACCATCTATATAAAAAACAAATTTAAAATACCCAGACCAGCAATTAGGAGCAGATCGTTTAAGGTGCGAGAAATTTCTTCAGCCAATTATGTTGATTATTGCAAATTCCTCCTAGAACGGGAAGCGCCCATGTTCAACAGTCGAAAGTTAAAATGCTAATTAGAAAATGAAAAAACATTTCATTAGAAATGTTTATGTTTTTAATAATTTATTCCTTACCTGGCTTATGTACAGAATCACTGTTTCAATACAGTATTGCATCGTGGTATATTAGTTTCTAGTTGATATTAGGAAGATATTGGTTTGTTTTGCTCTTATTACGGCACCCACGGGACGATATAGTGGATATTCTTACACCGCCCCTATACAGTGATATCATAATAATACAATTTAATTCACCTACTGACTCAAATAGACTGGGCTGTAACCATAATAATAGTTTGTTTTATTTACAGGGCTTTCAAACAGTACCTCCAGAATCATTGATAAGTGAAAATGCTAAAGCGGCTTTAAATGAGTTTTTAAAACGTGGTGAATTTGGAAGAACAGAAATTGGCATAGCAGAGGTAAGCCCTTTTTTTTAAATATACACATGTAAAATTAACAAAAAAAAAACTAATTATTAACCTTTTTTTTTTGGAATGGATTTCATCATTCCTAATCCGGTCTACAAGTTTAATAGTATCTACAAGTGTGGACCTCTGCTGGACTGTCAAAGACCATGTTTGGGCACCATAGGTGAGGATGGAAAGAATGCACACGTCCATGAGTTTCTTTTACAGGGATAAAGGACAACCACCCTTCATAAGATTCTTCATAGACCAATAGACCAGACGTTTTCCGTGCCTCTTGCAACTTCTTTATCTTGCCTTGCTTGGAAAGAGACTATTTGGCCCAAATACAGATAAATACTCATCGACGTATGCAATCTCTACACCCTCGACAGTAATCTTGTGATGTGTGCTGTTTGTCATCAACTTTGTCTTTGACATGTTCATCCGAAGTCCAACCTCAAGGCTTGCCTTGCTAAGTCAACTCGTCGGCTGAAGATAAAAAGTGGACAATATCGTCGGCGAAACGGAGATTGGATAATCTCACATGTCCAACTTGAATGCCCCTATCCACCCAGCGAGCTGTCAGCTTTCTAAATATAATCTTTTCTTCTTCTTCTTCTTCTTTACTTTTTGGCTTCTCTTAAAAGAATTCTGCCAATGTCAAGTCAGTCATGGGAGTGACAACAAGGTAAATAAAATCTTTTTTTTTATAGTTTTTTTCTTTTTAATTTTTTTGTGATTGGCTTCCAATCTACAACAAAAGACAACACAAACATTTATAATTCTGCCACCAACAATGATTAGTTTTATGTTACAACTTAATACTATTAGTATAAATAAAATCACATAAAATATGAACAAATGAGGAAAACACGAGAGACAGCAGACAGGTAGAATTAGTAGGACGAGGGATGTTTTGAGGAAGGATCATACAAGGAGAGCTTGAGTCGAGGACATTCGAAAAATATGTGATCGGTTGAACCTACATCAAGACCACATTCACATAGAGAATTATCCCTTATCCTTAATTTGGCTAGGTGTACCGGTGTGCAAGAATGACCAAAGCGAAGACGGCAAATGGTTGATGTATGGAAAAACCAAGGTTTGTATGGGATTGTGTCTTGAACCCGAGCGTAGTGTTTACATTTTATGGTTTTAGTTTGGTCCCAGAGACCTTGCCAAGATGCCATGAAGTAAGATCCTGCTAGTGGAAGCAAGTCATGGGGGAAAATTTGGTACTGAGAGACAGGGATGGAAAAAATCATGATTTTTTAAATTTTAAAAATCATGTATTTTTTTTTTGATTTTATTGATTTTTTTGTATATTTTGAAATTCACGAGTTGGTAACACTTTTTACAAGTAGGATTAAAAGTTTATGAATACATATTTATGAGACTGATTAAGAGTAAAATAATTAATACTGTAAAAGCTTTTAGAAAAATTTACTTCGCAAATATCCGAATTTTAGAAAAAAAATTCTAAAAGCTTTTATATAATGGATTTCCGCAAAGTAACGCCTGATTCTATTAATTAATACTGTATTAATTACGGTTCATTTCTTAAGTATGAATTTCTATAAAAACTATTTGGTTGATTTTACTAAGTTTATGAGACTGACAGACCTTATCGCTACAGTCTTTGTTGATTTTCCAAAGTTTATGAGACTATTGTAGTAGAATAATAAGAATAACATAAAACAATAAAAGATTTTACTTATTATAAGCCAGTTTTATTTCATTTTCTGCCTATTACATTAATTTATACATGTTGATTTAAATCAATGAATTTTTTAATCAAAATCAAGCGTTTTAAATCGTGATTTAAATCATGATTTAAATCAGTCAACCCTGCTGAGAGAGGACACCTGTTTGTGTTGCTTTCTTAGCCAAGAAATCAGAACACTCATTACCACGTATCCCAGAATGGCCTGGAATCCAAGCCAAAACAACTTTTAGGCCTTTTTTGTGACAATTATATAATGCTTTTTTAATAAAGAGGATAGGGAAAAGATTTGATTGAGAGTGGAAGGAGCTGAAGATAATAGTTTGGAGACGGCTAAGAGAGTCAGAGAGAATTAAGGTGTTTTCCAGGTTGTGAGATTCGGCGTATAGAATTGCCTATAAGATGGCAATAGATTCACCTGTGAAAACTGATGATTCAGGTGGGCACTTAAAATTTAATATTATTCTATATTTAGGGATCCAAACTGCAGAACCTACACAATCTTTGTTAGAAGTCTTTGAAGCATCTGTGTACATAATGATCCAGTCTTGACAATTTTCTGAGATGATTTTCTTTAATTTGCTGTTAGGATCAATGGTTTTCTTGTCAAGTCCAAAGTCAAGGATGACGTTTGGATTGAAAACTAGTGCTTCGTAGGGAGTGGAGAAGAGTAAGTTGTTGCTATTTTGGAAGATTGGAGATTGAATGTTTACAAACTTTATATAGCTTTTTAAAAGACATGGTATATCTTTATGTCACCAGTATGGGGAAATTGAAATTTGTTGGTGAAGTGAGTGTAGTATATGGAACAGCGGATGGTTATGAAGAAAACACTTCTTGAACCAGAATTAGTCTGATAGGTACTGCCTGCGAAGAAAGAGAGGACCCTCACCACACTCGACCTGGAGAGCGTTAGTGGGGGTAGATTTCATTCCTCCTGTTATAATGCGAAGGCATTTTACTTGAATTTGATCCAAAGTTTTAAGCGCACTTTTATTGCATGGTTTCCACAAAAAGGAAGCATAGTCAAAATGGCTTCTTATCAAAGCATTATATAAAAGCTTTTGGGAGTAAGGTTGAGAGCCCCACCAAGCTCCTGTAATAGCGCGAATGACGTTACATTTTTTTTCTCATTTTGAAGCTATGTAGGATATGTGGGGAATTCCAGACAATTTGCTATCTAGCATAACACCGAGGAATTTCACATGGCACACATTGGGAATCAATGAGTCTCCAATAGAGATTGACACTTCTGGGATGAGTCTTCGCCTCGAAAATACCACGATTTTACTTTTTGGGGGGGAGATAGATAAGCCATGTTCTGTGAGCCATTCTTGGAGGTAATATACCGCATGAGATAATCGAGAAGAGGCGTCAGGTAAAGAATGGTCAGTAACGAAAAGAGCCAAATCGTCAGCATATTGGAGTATGTTGGACAGACAGTTTACGGATCTATCTAGATCGTGGGTATATAGGTTATACAGAAGGGGACTTAGAACAGAGCCTCGTGGAAGACATTTCCAGATGTATCTGGCATGAAATTACCCTCTACGCGCACTAGAACACGTCTTCCTGAATAAAGGTTTGACACAAAGTTTGTTATCCTCACAGGGATGCTCAGCTGATGCATCTTATGCCCGAGCAGCGGAAGTATAACATTATCATATGCTGCGCAAACATCTAAGAAGACACCTACAAGGAAGTTGTTTTGGGAAAATGCAAGTCTGACATTGGAAATCAAAAGGCTGAGGCTGTCAAAGGTACTCAAACCCTTTCTAAAACCAAACTGGCTTTTAGGCAAGATGCCTCTATTTTCTAGTAACCACTCTAGGTGTTTTTTGACGAGGTGCTCCATTATCTTTGATAGAGTGGATGAAATGGCTATTGGACGGTAACTAGTGGCTGTAGAGGGGTCTTTTCAGTTTTAAGGATAGGAATTATGATATGGGTTTTCCAGTCAACAGGAACTGCTCCTGTTGAATATATACAGTTGATTATGCCTAGGAAATATTTTTTGGATGTGGGTCCCATGTGAGTTAAAAGAGAGTACGGGATCCCATCGATACCTGGAGAGGCGTCCTTCAGATGGTTCAACACCAACTGAAGCTCTGTGAGGGAGAAGGTATCATTCATAGATTCATAAGAAAGATGGGAAAGTGGGGAGGTTACTGGGAATATCTCCTCTAAAGAAGTGACCCATGGAGGAGACAAGCTGCTACAGAAGTTGTCTATCCAAAGTGAGGGGTCAGGTTTATTTATTTGGCTATCATTGAGAGAACCACGAAATCGCTTTATGGTTTTGCAAACAAGGGAGGCTGGAGAGCGAGGTAACAGACTCTCACAGAATAAAAGCCATGCTTTTTTCTTCTTCTCCGAGAATGTTTTTTTGGTTTGAGCGGCTATTTTTTTATAATTTATAAAGTTTTACATGGAAATATTTGCAGAATACTGTTGTTCAGCGTCTTTTTTACATCTTTGCGTTTTTTAACAATAGAAGAGCACTGCGTCCCACCAAGGAGGTGAGGAAATTTTGTTAATGGAGCTACTTTTAAGGGGGATAGATTTTGTAGCAGATTCATTTAAAAGGGAGATAAAATCAGAGTAGGCATGTTGTAAGTTAATGTGAGACACTGGAGGGAGAGAATGAGCTTTAGTTTCTATATCAGAAATATATACATCCCAGTTGGCTCTGGACACATTAAACTTGGAGATGCATGATTTATTCCTAGTGGGAAGGCTTCTACTGGACAAAGACAAAAGGATGGGGAAGTGGTCACTACCAAAGGTGGACGATAGAGTGTTCCAATTGATACTTGCAGCTAAATTAGCAGAGCAGAGGGATAGATCTACAACAGAATTAGGACTTTGGGAAGGGTAGACCATGCGGGTGGGAGATCCATTATTCAAAATGCAAACTCATTAAAGACGTCAATTAAAAGATAGGAAAAAGAATCATTTTTATGAGAACCCCACAGTACATTGTGACTATTGAAGTCCCCAATTACAATAAAAGGAGGAGATATGCTAGACATGATTAGGTTAAGCTCTGGGATACAGACAGGAGTAGGATTGGAAATATATATTGACACAATTGTGATGTCCATTACTTTTACAGCTGTTGCATTAATATTCTCTTGCAGAGGTGGAAGGGGAATTGACCAAGAGGTAGGATTTCTATTGAGACGAATCATGGTGCCACCGTAACCATCGCTGCGGTCGTCATGGATGCACGAAAAACCAGGGATTCTGAATCTGAAACCAGGTTTTAGCCAGGTTTCCGCAATAGCAATGACTGAGGGGTTATAAGTATTTATCAAATTAGTTAGTTCGGATTTCTTGTTCTTGATGCTCCGACAGTTCCACTGAAGGATGTGGAGGCGATTGAATTTTATAAATTTTTTGGAAGAGCACGTCAAGTTTATTTCTCACGTTAAACGGTAGGTGTATGTCATCAAATTTGCCAATTATATCAGAGATGGAGGACACAAGGTTTTCCAGGAGATTATCATTAGGGGATAAATTAGCTTGAAGAGCACGACCATTTGGAAGGGAAGAGGTAGGGGTTCTTACAATATTGTTGTGTGCTACCTTATCATAGCCTACAGAATTTGGAACAGGTCTAGTTGGGTTAATTCTGAAAACAGTCTTTCTATAAGATTGAGAAGCATGAGGAGCAGGGTGAATACTTGATAACTGTTGTGATGAAGTGGGTGGGCAAGGAATCCCTAAAGATACAGCTACACCAGCGTAAAGTCTTCTAACTGCAGGGAATCGAGCAGATGCCTCTAAATATGAAATATTTTCTTGGGACATGATCAGTTTAATGCCTTTTTGTCTAGTATGTTCAGGGCAACTTTTATCAGTTGTCTAGTGATTAGCAGAGCAGAACAGGCATGTTGGGATATCTGTAACACAATTATCTCCAATGTGCTCTTTTGAGCATTTGAAACAGCGTGGCTTTGATCTGCACTGAGCCTTTACATGTCCAAAGCGACAACACTTCAGACACTGTATGTAAGGGGGTATGTAGGTTTCGACAGGAATTGAGGTGTAAAAGCAATATAAGTGAGAAGGTAGCTCTTGGCCTGAAAATGTAAGGACAACGGTTTGGGTGGCCACCCACTCAATATCATCGCCTTTCTTTACTTTTCGGTGTAATCTCCTAGCCTTTATAATTTCTTCTCTACCTGGGGGAAGTTCCGACTCACACACCAACTCCTCCATGGAAATACCGTTTGGTATACCTCTAACAACACCCATTCTGGTAACATTGAAGGTTGGAATGACTGCTGATAGTTTATATTTAGCAAGAAAGGATGATTCGATAAAATTATTGGCATCTGTAGCAGTTTTAAAAGCTATTGAGACCCTGTTACGACCTATATTTGTTATGCTTTGTTTTTCAATATTGGAAACCTTGTTTTGGGATAGGATATGGCCGATCTTGACAGGGCGGATTGTGTAACCAGATGAAGGATCAGGTTCTATACGCTTAAGGTGAATTGTAAAAGGCCCTTTATCACTATCACTATATTTTTCTTTTCGAGAAAATCAGGGTGGGTGTAAATGTTTTGATATGACGCTGAAGGCGTGTTATCATGATAAACGTTTTTTTTTTATGAATGCTTGATGTTATATCCGTACATTTTCGTTTAGAGGGACCGAAACCAGATGGATTGTCTTTATCCGGTGGTTCCGAAGCCACCCCGTCAACGTCCATCGTGTTAGTTAAGAATACATAAATTGATTAACTATCGCTACTTACCAACAAATAAGTAATGAACAACACAACACAAATTTATATAATAACAAACACAGAAGACGGCAAGGATATTAACGAAGCCCAACACAAAAATATATCCGAAAATCGCTGAAACACGTGTGACTACTAATCACTCTGACAGCAGAATCTCAATCAAATATAATCTTTTAATACGGCCGTAAATAGTTTTGGAGATAGCGGGTACTAATGCTAAAAGATGGGCCTGTCATAGAACTGATTTTAATGGATGCAGTGCTATTCTTGTAAATATTAGAGTTATATACATATAATCCCAGTTTGGTTTAAAAATTAAACAATTGTACACGCCCCTAGCTGCCCCAACAAAGGTTGACGGGACTAGGGCCCATGAGTAATCCCATCGACGGGCAACAAGGGACGGGGCCCAACAGCCTATGGAGACATCATTCTACACAATAGATATAAGGCTAGGTAAACAAATAGTACGTACCTGATTCCGACTCTTAGATCGCCCCAAGGCTCGGTCAGGCCGTAAGTGGGTGTGAGGTGCATGGCAAGTAGTGTTTAGTGATGTGTAAATGTCTGAGACCTGGACCAGCATAGGCGACCAGCAGCGGCCGAGTTCCAGGCTGCCCCACAATGCTGCATCGCTCCAGCAGACTCCACCGCTGGACCATTTCTTTCTTCATTGTCATTATTTCAGTCTATTAGCTTCATTGTACATTTAACTAACTTAAACTCGTCTAATTCCACATTCATCGTAGAATCGAACACGTGATACCCGACACAGTAAGGACAGTAGTTCAAAATTCGACATTCAATGTCCCGGATTCACTTATCACAAAATTATAAATAGGGAACTAACGCTATCTCTTAATGAGTCATACGGTTCAGCGTTAAACACAACTAAGTTCCTTCATTCGACACCAAAACACCATGTCGCGAAAAGAATTCAAAATACGCCTCGTTGACACGTAAACTAACAAACCAACCAACACACAGAAAAGGGCACTTAACGCGACGGCACATTTATAATGATTTCCAGACAATCAATTGGGAGACGCTCTCGACTAAGGAATGCGCGGTTCGAATCCTAGACCGTATATCTACCAGACGCGCGCGTGCACAATTCCGCATCACCCGAACAAGTTAAATATTGCAAAATTCACATATCTACGTAGCGAAATAACACGCACTACATCTAACTATCTGGATCCTACACGGTCGCGTGAACCTCGGCGGCGATAATCGAGACACGCTGAACCACCGCATCGCGGCCAGCGAGCTACTGTTTCTTCGCCCACGCGTGCGTTGCGAGCCACCGCAAGCCGTACACGGCCGCCCCACCTGGCGGCGTTTTTTTCACCTACATACCATCGGGTGACGCGCCAGCTCGAACGCAAATGGATGGCATTCAAAAATGACCAAATTTGGGCATAAACAACAATCATCGATGTTAAGTAAATAGCAGATTTTGTTAATAACTAATTGAGTAACAAGTCTCTTAAAGTTATAAAAAAGATAAAGTGACAGTCCACCTGATAATTAGTTGGTACAAGGGGATAACTTCTCCACTTGGCCGCCGCAGCTGAGGTAGAGTTGCGGGGGAAGAGAAGTGTTGCTATAGCGAGTAATTCAATACCTAGTAGTATATAGAACAATTCCGTACCAAGTACATGGAGAATTGCCATTTCCTTTTACGGTCAAAGTGGTGACCCCGACATAATCTGAACACACACAACCTGATAACTTCGGAAACTTAAATTTTAAGCTTTTGTCATTGCACTCAAGGCAAGGACCCTTTCATTAGCTTCCGAGTAAACACCATCTGCAGTCTTCAGCTACTGCAAGCTAGCTTCAGCTTTACAAGCTTTATCGCAGCTATAGGAAAATGCTTACTGTTCTTTAAAGCTACTCTCTACACTTCAATGCTCGGCACGGCTTCGAACCTTTACTGCTCGTCTCTGCTTCACGACATTCTCGCAGATTACTTTCCTTCTTCTTGACTCACCGCGCAGACCGTCGCAAAAACGAATCGAAGCTTAAATTACGATATCGAAGTTTTCAAACTACCATATATAAAATAAGCTCCTCGCTCTAGTCCGGCGAGCAGCCAACACGGGCTGCTCGCCGGACTAAACATCTTGCCCAGCGGGAGATCTTACCTTTTTCTTCCACGACCACAGATCGTCGCCAGTGTTTATTCTTTATATCTCGTATAAGATAATATAGTGCCAAATATCGGAGGCCATGTTGATTTTTTGACTTTACCCATTGTCTCCTCTTCTGGTGAATTTTCTTGTAATACGCCGCCACATGCAAGGGAACCTAAGGCTACTGTTTATTTTAACTGAATACATTGTAACAGGGGGGTGTGGGCACAGTGGGTGCAGTAGCAATCGATACGAATGGACATATAGCAGTGGCCACTAGCACCGGTGGTATGAGTGGTAAAGCAGTTGGTCGCATTGGGGACACACCTCAGATTGGAAGTGGTACTTACGCTGACGACAACATCGGTGGAGTTTCTACTACAGGTATTATGTTTTAATTTTTTATTCATTGCCGCATTGTTTTTTTAACAGGAGATTTGTTTTCCAGAAATTTATTTACAGCTTGAGTTTGTGAGCGATCGCAATGAGTGCTATTATTTGTTACTTATTAGACTATTATTCCACAACATGATTTAAAATCCACAAAGTAACAAGAGTACTATGCACAAGTTAAAAGAAGGTTGTCGACCCCTAAAAATTTCAAATTTTCAAAATATCGAGAAACGAAGCTGTAGGCATGAACTACTTGCAAAATAACGAATATTTTGTTCTGGATAAATTTTCCAAAAATGAAATTTGAGCGAGTTATAACGATTTTTAAAAAGACATGACTCGCGTGTCATACGCCACACACAAAAGTAATCGATGGCACGCCTGGCGTGCCATCCGCACTGAAACGGTTAAAAAATATATAAATAGATATTCTATTCTGATTCTAATTACATATTTTCAATCGCACATTGTAAATTTATTTATTATGTATTATTTTTTTATTTTATTATGTATTTTAATTTTAGGTCACGGTGAATCAATTTTGAAGTATTGTTTGGCGCACAGCATCATAAAACTCATGGAAAATGGCACTGACGCAACTACAGCAACGAAGAATGCCGTGACTGGTAAAATTATTATTTATAATATTGTGACCATCTACGTGTTTAAATTCTAAATGCATTTTTATAACAACCACACAGTTCACATGATGCATGGATGCCGCGGACCATAGATACTTACATCTATACTTGGTGAATAATCAAAATGCGGACGTGTCGTCACCCCTTATGAACAATATCAAAATGATACGCCAGGTCAATCCATCTCTCGGTGGACAAAAATTAGTTAAATAAGTTGTATAAAAGAAGCTTACGTCAACCGTATGTATTGTACAGCAGACTCAGTGAAGTGCGCTAGCACAAGGTCGCGCCGTCCCCCGCCCCGCTAAGACCCCGTCGTTGCTCTGCACAAGTAAATTCTTTTTATTACCGTATACTGTGATTGTAATTTACCACAGTGTGCATTATTAATACTGAGGATATATTTCAAGTGCTATATCTATGTCGAGTATTCGACCGATCACTACTGACTATAAATGCTCCATACAGGAAAAACATAAATAATAGATTGGATTATAGTGAATTTTCTAATATCAATCATAAAAAATCCTGAAAAAAAAAAACATTAATCTGCTTTAAAAATTACTTAGGGTTAATATAACTTCAGTATTTTTTTTTGTTTTAGGTATGACGTCACGCTTAAAAAATACGGCGGGTGCGATAACTTTATCTAAGAATGGCGATATTGGGATATATTTTTCATCTAATAGAATGGCATGGGCTTATATTAAAGACGATAAATTATATTATGGAATTGAACAAAATGAAGTTCATGAAGATGGCTATGTGAAGACATAATTAATACTTTTATTTCACACTATGAAAAAATTTTATTTGTAAGAAAATAATAAGAATATAAATGAAATTGTGATTAAACAAGGCTGCATTAATGTCGTTAAGAATTATATTTTTGATTTGAACATTTATAATAAAGGCATTGATAAAAGTATTATTTATTATTGTAGAAAGCTATATAACATTTCTGTGTCATTTGTTGGGAAAAATTATGTCACAATCTTTATCTGCATTTTCAACCGTCTTCAAAAAGGAGGAGGTTCTCAATTCGTTGGAATCTTCTTTTTATGTATGTTCACAGATTAATCTAACCGATTTGAATTTTTTTTTTTGTATCAAAAGGGCATGCTTTCCAGTAGGTCCCAAATAAATTTGATCAAGGTCTGACTTTCTTGAGTTTTTGAGTTATCCTTAATAATTTATATTGAAGTCGGTTGTACAAAATTTTTAATTTTACCACTTGTGTAGTCTACTTTTATTTATCGTCAACGAGCTCAAAACTGATTGCTTATACTTTTGACTCAATGCGTGATCGCCTTATCCACGGCTTCTTTGGGCATCCGGATCACATTTGATTTTGATGCAGAGAAAATGTCTAACTTTTACAAGAACTATGTTATATTCTATGATTGTAACAGAGTTTCCTAGATCCTTGGTAGCTACTAAAAATCCGACCAAGTGCGGGTCGAACTCGCGCATGAAGGGTTCCGTATGAGAAAAAAAAACACTTCTATTAGGGGGAGCCCCCTTTAATTTTTAATTTATTTTTATGTGTTTGTTATAGCGGCAACAGATATACACATTCTGTGAAAATTTCAACTGTCTACCTATTACGGATCATGAGATACATACAGCCCGCTTACGGTGGCACTTCACGTTGGCCAACATACTGGCTAATGTATTGGCCAACAACGATGGCCATCGTGTAGAGCGGGTGTTTAAGCTACGTTGGTATGTATTGGAACGATGGCCCACAAGTTGGCGCGAGATCCGTGTGGTGTAGGTTTTTTTACAAAAGATCAAAGGGTTGTGGCAAAGTATTGGCCGCCGCGTCCACACGTTGGGCGCACGTTCAGTTTGCTACGAGCTCCCAGAGTGATTGCACGCACCTGATTTAAATTTTATTTGCACGTATCGTAACTAGTGTCTACATAACGGCAGTAACAATGACCAATGAAAAACACTTTTCGGTTTATAGAGCCCTACTAAGCCGAAAATTGTTTGTGAGACACAAGACTTTTAAAAAAAAACGTTACCCCCACACTAGGATTTTCTCCTGTATCGTGGAGGCAGTTTAGAAACATAAATTGCATAAGGACAAACATCTAGACCCGGAGCAATTATGTGCAGGCCATACAAATACTTGTTCCGTGCGGGATTCGAACCCGCGGCCCCCAGCGCAGCAACTCATTGCTAAGCCACTACGCCACGGAGCCGTCAAGAAATAAATTTTTTTTTTCCATTTCTTTTTGATCACCCTTTTCTTATACACATTCACGTTGTAGTGATTGATGTATTAATTATTTATTGATGTATTAATACTATAAGACTAGGTAAGATACTAAAATCAAATTAAAAGGTAGTATTCTAAAATCATGTTTTTACAGTCTTTATTATTCCCTATTAGTTACTTTATTTCGTTAAGAATACTGTAATTTTTAGCTATGGAAGAGCGAAGTCACCTGTTACAGGCATTATTTTGCTTAGGTACTAGGTGACCTCGATCACTGATCATATAATGTAACTTTAATGTTTGACGAAATTAATTATTTATTATTATTATTAAGTTCGCCATATGTACTACTTTGTGCATGAAAGTGTAAATAAATAAATATATTCTATAATTATATAATAACCCTTTTTAAAAAGGTTTTGTTTAATAAAAATTTTACAACAGTTTCATAGACAGGCTTTGAATATTTTCCAGGCCTTAGTTAATTATACCTATGCCTAGGTGTGTTAATTTTATATAGTTTACTTATCTGTATAACGTTAGTGTGTAATAAAGAAATATTAAATATTAAAAATAGTGAAAATTAAATAAAAAATAGTGGTATGCTGTGAATAAATAAACCGCAACAGGGAGTTTTGGCGGGAACTTGATCAGCGGCGGTTTGCTGCTCCTGTATTATTGTTTAAATAATGGTTTGAAGTGGACTTTGATATGTAAAAGTGGTGCGATTTTGTGTATTAATTGTCTACGCATGTGAACTATTAGTGGAAACAGTGAAACAAGTGCTCTGATGGTGATGGATTCTCAAGATAAGCTGTTTGTTTGCATAGGCGCCTTGAGATACCATCGCCAACTATCAGCTGTCTGCTGGCTCAAGTTGCCGTCAAAATCTCTCAAGGGCTGCACAATGTGACGCATCAACATATTGTGAAGCAGTGAACTATGAAGGATAATTATTTATAATAAACCGAATAAAAATACTCAAGACTTGGCCTAAAGGTCTAGATACCAGGCCATAAACTCCTATAAAAAAAAACCGCAACAGCCGTTAGCGCTTCAATAATCATTTTAATAAATTCGTCCGCACATTGGCCTGAACCGAAGCAAACTGAACGACCTTCCAACGTGTGGACGCGATCACAAATTCTTGGCCAATATCTCTGCCAACACATTCGCCACTATGTTGGCCAACGTGAAGAGCCGCCATTACAGACAGACGGATGGACGGACGGACAGACGGACGAACAGCGGAGGCTTAGTAATAGGGTCCAGCTGGTTACCCTTTGCGTACGGAACCCTAAAAAGCGTGTTTTAGATATTTATTTATTTACACACACACACACACACACTTAACAACTATCCTTACAGGCTAAACAAACCCAATACGATAGTGTCACTAATTTACTTAAATATACTATGTATTACAATTAACTTACATAACTAACTATGTATAAAAGTACCTGTAGTATAATTTCTCTGTTCAAGATTAGTTGGTTTTCAAGCCCGTTATGTATACAGTGCGTGCAAATCATAAATGCTTCGTTAGACTCCGACGACCCAAATGTCGCCGGACCATCACACACCAACTATACACGCACCAAGTATCACAAGCGCAGTTAGGACAACGTATGGGACGCAGCGAGTTCGCAGACGTGCGCGCCGCACACCCCTCCACACCGAATATACACCGTACACCCGCGTCCTTGGGCGGTTCTCACCGCCCAGAACACCGAACGATACGATTTAGCCGTCAGATCAGAGCCCGGGTCCGTCACCCCCTGTTCAGACGGCAGTTAGACAACTCGCCCATGCCATGTTGTGATTTTCGGCGGCATCAAGGAGTATTAGATGTTGATGTAACGATAATGTGATCACTGAACACAATAAATCCAACCCTAGATGATCGATTGACCAAAATAAATAATTTCTTCCCTTTTTATAGGCCTTTCAGGCCGCGAGCCTTGAGTCCAATGATCCTGTAAGATCCGCATAGGCTAACAGCATTAAGATCACGGAAACTAGAGAATCATAAATGCGTCATTGAACAACGTCCAGAATATGCGCAGAATGTCATTTTTAAAAGTCATCCGAGGGGCGCACGCGGTTGTGGGGGAACGTATTACGCTCGCGTCATCATTATGCTATTCATAATCATAGATAAAAAGAGTTAAGCTCAACTAGAGTTTACCCATCACTAGGTGATATAATTCTTAAGGTGAAATCGCCAGGGTAACCCGCAAAATTCAAATTTTCTTACGTTTTTTGCAATTTGTAGGTCACTGTCAGGTTGTATGTTTAATAAAATATGATTCGCGACCGTAACGAGTACGTATTTACAGAATTATAATCATCAATACAACCCTCTAAGTTCGTATAATCCCATTGTGTGGCTATTTCCAGAAAAACTCATTCAAAGGGATTATATGAACTTGGAGGGTTGTATTGGTGATTTTAATGATAATAATTCTGTAAATACATACTCGTTACAGTCGCGAATCATATTTTGTTAAACGTTCAACCTGGCCCTGGCCTGCAAATTCCAAAAAAACGTAAGAAAATTTGAATTTCGCGGACCACCCTAGAGTTTTCACCTTAAGTTTTCTTATTTGCTAGGGTTGATTGATGTTCTGTCATTATCTGCTGTCGTTAAAATCTCATTGCTCCAGTACACGTTGGCCGAGCGCGCTCGCCGAGTGCGTTCGGCCAACGTGTACTGGGCCGTTTTGTGTGTATTTGGCGTTTGCGGCCAACACTCGCCCACAAGCCGTATAGTGTCGGTTTTCCGTGCACAAATCAAAGAAATTTGGCGCAAGCCGCAAACAGCGATCACACGTTGGCCGAATGTTCAGTTCATAGTTACGCGTCGCAGTAGACTGTAGTGTCGGCTTAATAAAATTGTTTCAACATGGCGACATGGACTAATGAGGAAATATTTATTTAACAGTTTATGTACACACATAATTCGATAGGAAAATGGTAAAAACATAATTATGTACAAAGGCACTGCTTATTCCATGATGAAATTTCTTCCAGCAGGCCTATTGAAGGATAGTTGAAGGAAATAGAGGTAGTCAAAGTGTGCACTTACATAAATATTCATATGCAATACAAATATATACATATACACACACACACACACACACATATATATATATATATATATATATATATACCTTATATATATATTGTATATAAAAAATATATACTGCCAGCTCATGAGGTACCTTGAGGATCACCAGCTGATCAGTGACCGTCAGTACGGTTTTCGTCGGGTTCGATCAGTAGGTGATCTTCTAGTTTACTTAACTCATAGATGGGCGGAGGCAGTAGAGTCCAAGGGGGAGGCATTGGCCGTTAGTTTGGACATAGCGAAGGCTTTCGATCGGGTTTGGCACAAGGCGCTTCTTTCGAAGCTTCCTTCCTATGGGCTTCCCGAGAAATTGTGCAAATGGATCACCAGTTTCCTTGCTGATCGGAGCATCAAGGTCGTAGTAGACGGTGCATGCTTTGATTTCAAGCCTATCAACGCTGGTGTTCCACAAGGCTGCGT